TACAGTTATGCGTTGGGTATGCCGCTAAGCTTATTTAGAGATGTGAATAACAGATATAGGATCTGTCCCTTCTACTGTATAGAAGTATAATGTCAATGGGCCCACTGAATAGTAGGACTTGGGAAAGTGCATGGCCATGCCGAGATATGTCGCTATCTAGAGACTGATAAATATCTGATCCCTGCCAGTCTACTTGAGATTCAGTAATAGCTGATTTAACTATACAAGGATACACATCCCATGCCTTGTGTTAAATCATGACATTTAGGACAGAAGGATAATAGTTATAGAATGTCTTGTGTCGTAGAAGGTATTGATGAGATGAACGTCTTTTTCATAATCTGGGGGTAATAATGTGTTGCTAGATACCGCTTATTATCTATGGTATTAATTTTATTAATATCATTGCCAGTGTTATGGATACCTAAAGGCTCACACACTTAGGACTTGTAAGGGAGTAGTATACTACACTTAGGACTTGTAAGGGAGTATATATATATTACTTTTATTTTCATTATTTTAATTATATGATAATTATTGATGTAAAAATAAAATGTAATGTATTTTAACATGCTATGGCCGAAATTCTAAGGGAAAAAATACAAAACATATTTTGGTATTCCACCTAATGATATATTTGATTTTATAATCAAATATTTGATTAACAAAATTATACTTGTCTTGCTGTGTTGGTTGGGAACAATGAATTAAGCCTAATTTGTTTGTCCCTAAGCAATTTCCTAACATTTTCTTAATACATTGTATTATATAGTGTGAGTATCCCTCCCCATATTTGGTGTGTGATATTCGGTCATCACAAGGTTTAGAGAAGAAAAATTTTATTTTGTGTTCAAAGTTATTTTTCTAAAGTGTTAGAAATATACACAAAATATTATAAAGAAATATTTATAAGATAAATATTTTACTATATATTTATTACTCCCAAAGTAGTATTATTATAGTTTTTACTATCATATATTAAACTTGCTAGCACAAGTTTAATCTTGGACTCCGGAGCAAGTTTGTGTGGATACGTTAGAGGCTTCATTCGTTTGGCGCTACGTTCATCTCTTCAAAACCATCCCCGACCGTTCCTCCGTTCTCCGTTTTCACCGTTAAGGTAAATTTCTTACTATAACTAGTAATTTACGTAAGTTGTTCTTGGGTGGAATCGAGTTTTGGACTATAAATTTTTGTTTTCCACTGCGTTATCCAAGCCTCGTTTCCCATCACTATCTACCCCATAATGAGTATAGCCTCGTGTATATTGGGGGTTAGAAGGTTTTCTTCTGAAATTATTTCCTTTTTGAGGTCTGTCCAGCTTCCTATCGTTCTTAGAAGGGACTACCTTTTTGGGAACTTCTGTGGATTTCTCCTTCTCCTTCCCTTTCTGCTTATTGTGTTTGGCAGTAGGTTTAGGAGGGATGAAGGTTGTTCTCCCTTTCCTTTTGGAACTGGAGGGGTCAAACCTAAGTCCTTCACGACCCTTTTGTTTGGTCGTTTCAAGAAGCTTATCCACTGCTTCTTTGGACTTAAGTATCCCTAGCTCCTTGTTGAGGGATTTCACCTTTTCAGAGAGAGATTCATTTTCAGTCTTGAGTTGAGTGATCTCATCTAGTTGAGTTTTCCGACCTTCAGTCAACTTGAGATTCTCTTCACTCAATAGCTTGTTCTCCTCTGTTAAGGATGAGTGTTTGAGATTTATTTCCTCAAAATCTTCCATCATCTTTTTGAACTTGTCAAAAAGACTTTTATAAGTTGGTATGCTTTCATAAGAAGATGAATAGGAGGTTTGTGAAGTTACCTCTTGATCAACATCATCTTTGGCCATTAGGCAGAGGGTGTCATCTTCTGACATAGTCCACCGATCTTCATGGTTGGACTTCTCAGCTCTGCGCTCCATGCAGACGAGGGCTTCTTCATCCGAGCTTGAGCTGGATGACTCGTCACTTTCAGCTGCAACCATTGCTTTCTTCTTCTTTTCGTTTCTTTCTCTTTCTCCGTACTTCTCCACCTTTGGGTACGGGCACGCTGACTTCCAATGACCAAGTTTCCTGCAGTTATAACACAAATAAGATTCAGGAAGGGAGTCACATACCTGTGGCTTTCCCTTGGATGGCCTTCTGACCGAGTCAGCTTTCTTGAAGAACTTCTTGAACTTTCGGAATTGTTTGACCATCATGGCAAATTCCTCATCATAGTTCTCTATTTTTGAGCTTGACGACTAGCTAGAGGAAGGTGTGTGAGTGTGTCACAGTTCCTTGGGCATGTCCCTTCACTCGGTGGGACTCTAGGAGTTGTCATCAATGTCATGGGGAAGGGAGTGACTTGTTCTTCCTTCTTCATCATCAGCTCATGCTCATAGGTTCTGAGGTCATCAAGGAGACCTTGGACAGTGTAGTTCTCCAGGTTTCTTCCTTCTTCCATGGCTGTGGCTTTGGTGTACCATTCAGTTGGAACAGATCTCAGTAACCTTACATTCTTTTCTTTGGGAGAAAGAACGTGGTTAAGTGATGCAAGATCATTTAAGATTTTGTGGAATCTTTCATCCAACATATCAAATGATTCTCCGGGAAGCATTTTGAAGCTTTTGAACTTCTCAAGTAGGACCTCTATGTTCTGCTTTCTCAGGTCCTCCGATCCCTCACACAGCTTCCCAAGACCTTGCCAAATCTCCATGGCAGTCTTGAGATGCTTGATCTTGGAGAAGGTGATGGGATCAAGTGTCTTGAAGATGGCTGCTTTGGCGACGTTGTCCAGATTGTGCTTCTTGCAATCTCTATCATCCCATTTCTCCTTGGGCTTTGGAATGTACTAGACAACATCAGGATTGGCTGGATTCCTCTCGGGATTCTCCATTTGAATTTTCAGGGGTTCGTCCTCAAGCACCATCCACATGCAATCATGTAGAGCGTAAAAGTGTGCTTCCATCATGATCTTCCAATCATCATAACCTAGAAGAGAAAACATGGGCAAACCATGATCCATATTGTTCACCATTATGATCGCTTCTCGTTAATCTAAATGTAGATAGTGAGAAGTGTGCTCCGATACCAATTGGTAGTCCCAAAGTGGTGAGATACAAAGTCTAGAGGGGAGGTGTTTATTCTAGAGGGGAGGTGTTTATTCTAGAGGGGAGGTGTTACAACTTAAAAACTTTTTCGTTTCTTTTGAAAACGTGAAAATGAGTGTTTATTCTAGAGTTCTTGAAAACTTTTTCGTTTCTTTTGAAAACGTGAAAATGAGTGTTTATTCTAGAGGGGAGGTGTTCTGGTCTTTTCTTGAGGCATCCGGTTCTTTCGCTGACAAATCTGGAAGAGTCATTCACAGACTTCCGGGTGAGAAAGAGATCCGCGCTAGTCTTCCGATTTGGATGACTTAGCCTTCAGCGGGTTATAGCGAGACATCCGGTTATCATGTTGTGTTCTGGATTAGAGGATCTTCAATTGCTTTGAGAAATCCTTACATGTCTCTGACGTTTCTGAACAAGATATCCAATATCCATATCACAAAATTTGATTAAGTCTTCAAAGATCAAACCACAGAGTGAAATATCACAACTTTATTGGAAATCTCAAGAACTCGGTTTTAACATTATTTCTAAAAAGAAAAATTACATTGAATATTGGGGGAGACCTAAAGTCCCTATTACAATCTAAATACATCATCATCAAAATCTATAATATTTTTCCCAACAGCCTATCCATCAACTAGATGTCAAAAATCCCTTCATCCATAGACAGCTTCAGGAAACCATGTATGCCAGCCAACCCTCAGGGTTTCAGGATGCCGATCGACCCCACCATGTTTGCTGGCTCAAGAAAGCTCTTTATGGCTTGAAACAGGCACCCAGGTCATGGTATCACAGATTTGCAGGTTTCATTCAGACCATTGGATTTTGCGGGTGCAAATCTGACACTTCTCTTTTCATCTTCACGCATGCATCATGGACTGCCTACCTCCTGTTATATGTTGATGACATCGTACTCACTGCATCTTCGCCAGCACTCCTTTAGAGTCTCATTCAGAAACTCAAGGATGAGTTTGCCATGACAGACACGGGTGACCTGCACGTTTTCCTCGGCATCAATGTCCATCGCACAACCCATCGTCTCTTCCTTCATTAGACACAGTTCACCCACGACATCCTTGAGCGGGCAGGAATGGTCTCCTGTTGCCCCATATCCAGTCCAGTAGACACAAAGGCAAAGCTCTCTTCCTCCTCCGGCACGACACTTCCAAATCCTTCCCTTTACAGGTCCATAGTTGGTGCTTTGCAGTATCTCACATTCACTCAACCTGATATTACTTATGCCGTCCAGCAGCTCTGCCTCCACCTTCATGCGCGTCGCAACACTCATCTCACGGCCATGAAATGAGTTCTCCGTTATCTTAGTGGCACCGCCACTCACGGCATCTATGTGACCTGCTCGACAGATTATCTCTAGGCTTATTCTGATGCTGTTTGGGCTGGATGTCCCGACACCAGACATTTTACTTCCGGGTACTGTGTTTTTCTAGGTGATAACCTGATTTCATGGTCGTCTAAACGCCAGGCCACCACGTCACGATCTAGTGTAGAGGCAGAATATCGAGCTGTGGCTAATGCAGTTGCGGAGACATCCTGGATTCGGAATATTCTACTTGAGCTCCAGCAACCTCTACGGCACGCCACTCTCGTCTTCTGTGACAATATTAGTGTAACACCCCAATCCTTATAACCCGGAATTACACGAATTAAGGTGAAACGAGAGTAAAATAAAAATTTCGCTTGACATTTGAAAATGACAATTTCTTATAAATATCAAATTTACAGACTCTGGATCGCGACCCATTTAAAAATATTTTCAGAGTAATACGGAAATACAATAATAATCAAATCATGACACATTTTAAAATCTGATGATCAACATTTGCCTGCCATCCTTGCATCTCCTCTGACTCAATGCCTTTCGGGAGTGGTTCCATCATTGTCTTCTTGTTACCTACGTGTAGTCAACGAAAAATACAAACTACACGCTCAGTGAAACCGCTGAGTGGTACCACGCTAGAATTGTAGAATGATTCTCAGACATATACATATACATATATATACGTCCACAAAATGTATAGTAACATTCATGATATGGCACATATTATTATATGGTCAATTTGATGAATCATGATGATAAATATTTAATGATAACTACCTGATGGCATATTTAATCAATATAATTATTCTTGATGATGATTACATGACACCTATGTAATCAATATAATTGTTCTTGATGATGATTACATGACACCTATGTAATCAATGTACTTGATGATGATAACATGATGCATGATCCTATAACTTGCAAGGACACCCTTGCGCTATGAGATTCGCCCATTTGGTACGACGAACTCACGCGGCCTTAGTCTCACGAATGAGGTGAGACTAGAAAAATAGGGGTGGTACTCGAAACTTGAATACCATGTACGTACACTAAGCCCGGAACGGGTGATGTCGGACTAGTAAGTCCCGCACATCACGCTATAAGAGATGCAATTACGCATGATCTCTTACGCATGCATATGATATGATATGCTACAATATGTGTGATGAAATGAATGATATGACATGAACAATTTGTAAACAATATGAATATATAATCATGCATTAATTTATCTGGATGAAACATGATTAAAACATCATTTAATTAAGCTACGGGGCTCGGAACGGTCGACCGTTTGGCGCAACGGTCGACCTTGATCTTCATCAGGTCGGATTGGCGGATCAGTGATCACTGTGACGGTCGACCGCGGTTGACCGGTGGTCGACCGTTGTTGACTGGGTGGCGACGACGGTTCTCGGCTGGGCGGGCGACGGTCGACCGTTGGCCACTGGCGGTCGACCGTTTGTCTGACAGTCGGGGTCCATTTTGATGTTTAACGCGACGGTCGACCGTTTACGTCGACCGTTTGGGTCTGCGAATCTTTCTCTTGATATTTTGAGTGTCCAAAATACTTCTTTAAGTCTTTTAAGCACCTTTGATTAACATATACATATTGTTGGGTTGATTTCCTTTCAAATATAAATGAATACACATATAATTGAAATACCTAAACCACATAAAACTAGAGTTGTATATCTATTGAATATATACGTAGTGTATATATAAAACCTTACCTTTTAACATATGGAATAACATATATGTTCATGTATGTATGTGATGAATGATTCGACAAGTCTAACGCAAGGGTACAGACCTGGAAATCATCGGCTGAAACCTTACGGATGAGCGGGAGTGGAAACAACATCGAAATTTGCAACCTTTGTCATTTCGGTCACAACTGGAAAACCTGCGGTAATTTGGGCATATCTCCATCGTTTCTTCACAAAATTGCAAACCGTTTGATTCTGTGGATTCCTAAGATGTAAGGCTACAACTTTCGTATAGAAAGTATTTCGTTTTAACATATGTAAGATAGCGTAAATCGGACCTGAAGTCAATAGAAAGTTGCTGTCTAGAATTTCGGGTATGTCGATGAACATGATTCCGACGATTAACTCACTAACTTCAACATTCCAACGCTGAACTTTCTTTGCAATACCTTCCGGATGTTCCTAATAATTGTTAGAGAGTTTATGGTAAGTATTTGGGATGAAATAATATGAATTTTGGTGAAGAAAAACATGCCAACCCGAGGAGCTCGCCACCACTGGCGCAGTCCCGGTATTTTGGCCATATCTTCTTCGTTACTTAACGAAATCGCGAGCCGTTTGTTGGCTTGGATTCGTATCGTCCGGGGCTACAACTTTAGTTCAAAAGGTATTTCGAGATAATGGATGGAAAATTATAGAACTTACGTAGAAGTTGATGCTGCGTTTGGAACTCATGATTTGGAAACTATGGATGGTTTCTTCTTGTTTCTTCTTCTTCCTTGAACCATCTATGGAGGAGGGTGTTTTCTTCTCTCCTTGAAGTTGCCGAAAGTGAGAGAATGGAGAGGGGAGAGATGAGATGATGGTGATGATGGTGGAACATGATGATAATGAAGATAATTGTGGTGGTGGGGTATTATAACATAATACTTTGGAAGTATTATGTAGGGAGAGATTTTAGGTGGCTAGTGGAGCAAAAGTGAGGCTAGGAGGGGCTGGTCCGTGATTTGGAAGAGATTTGATCATTTAAATTTTGGCTCTTTGCCAAAACTGAACAGTTTATTTCAAATGGTGCACGCTTTTTCGCCCAAACTGCTCCGAATGGAAAACGGATTGTGTTTTTGGAATGAGACTGTCAAAACTAGAATTTTGACATAATCAAAATATTTTTCTGAGAACTTTTATTTCTCTCAGTGTTCGGCTCTTTCTCAGTCATAAATTAATTTAATAATATAAATGATATAAAAATATATGAATTTAATTCAAATGATAAATATGGTGTTGTCAAATGTCAAAGATTTAGATTTCTAATCTTAAGAAATCTCTTTTGAATTGAGTTTATTTTATGGGTCAAAGTTACAAATTTTAATATTTAAAATTGTCATAACTTGAAATTTATAAATCAGATTGATTCATAAAATGTACCGTTGGATTCTTCTCTTCGAGACCTATCCATAAAAATAAGTTTTTAACAAAAAGTCATTATTTTGAAAGTCCATTTATTTTTGGTCAAACGTATAAATATTCCTTATCGGACAGAATTTACTTTTGTTTTATAATAAATTTTAGGCCATATTTTGTGGCGTTACAATTAGTGTCGTCTACCTCTCATCAAATCTGGTTCAGCACCAGCGCACCAAGCACGTTGAGGTCGACATACACTTCATGCGTGACAAAGTCGCACTCGCCCACATAAGAGTTCTCCACGTGCCTTCTTCATCTCAGTATGCTGACATCTTCACTAAGGGACTGCCTTCACTGCTCTTCCTCGAGTTCAAGTCCAGTCTGGGTATCAGACCACCTCCACACCCGACGTAGCCGAGAGCATGTTAAATATATATTCTATATTTAATGTAAATATATTGTTTCTTATTATTCTCTCCTACATTGTATAGGATTAGGAATCCTATGTATATAAATACATGTACTCCCACATATTCAATCAAGGAAATTAATCTTTCTAACACGCCCCCTCACGTGCAGGCGTGACCTCTTTGAACCGTGCACGTGAAACCTTAATTTTTTTAAACTGGGTGGCGGTGAGTTTTGAACTCGTGACCTCTTGGTCATCAAGGCTCTGATACCATATCAAGGAACCAACTCAACCAAAAGATCAAGCTTGTGGTTGTGGCCCAGAAATGATTGTTATATAATCTAACAAACGATGTGCCTCTAAGTCATTCATCCTTTTACCGTAAATTAGTTAAGTCCAACCTGAGGTCTATCAGTATCCAATGTTACGGATTTTGCGCCTCACAAACGTAAACCAGGCGTCCCACTTTGGCATGTCCCCTACTGATGGAAATTGGCTTTGACGAGTGAGCATGCGCTAGAAGGCACAAACTTAATTTAACAAGGGATTTAAATGTGGTCTCACCCATGGCTTGCGCTGCGTGCATGGACTAGCGTATACATACATAACATGCTTATGTATAAATAAATAAACATCATATCGTTGTGGCTCCAAAAGAAAAACTAACGGTAGTGCCATTTCTTGAGATCTCTATCTCCAGCCCATCATCTTCTTTGTCTTTAGTAATTATTTCTTCATCAAAGCTCTCCGACCATGCTGACCTTTTCTTGAATATAATGAATACATTAATTCAAAGAAAAGAATCCTTGCGTTTCATGCAAGGGGTATGAGGTTCAAGAGAGAGATTTATATTGAAAGATAAAGAGATAAGGCACGACACGCAGACCGTATTTAAAAGTAATAATAATACTAAGCCACAACCATACATAATGCATAACAATCATACATCACGACATGTAAATAGTTAAGCAAACACCAGACGAATCGCGCTCGCCCTAGACCTAGTTTATTCTACGAGAAAATAAACTATAATTCTAGAACAAATAATTTAACTATCAAATAATTTAATTAAAAATAATTTAAAACTACAGAATATTCAAAACACCATATTTAAATTTCCAGAATTTTAAAATAATATATTATCATAAATATAAGTATTAATATTATAATTGGGATTTTAATTTGAAATAAATACTTATATCTTTTGGAAATTAATAAAAACAAATTCTAGAATGTATATTTTAATTTATTTAAAATATTAATGTCGTAGAGACATAAATTAATCAAATTTTTAATTATATCTTTTGGAAATTAATCAAATTTTTAGAATTAAAAAAAACTTTTATTTTCGGATTTATACAATTAATGTCGTAGAGACATACATTAATTTCCAAAATTAATTATGAATATTCAAAATATTCCAAAAACAGATATTTTTCAAAAATATAGATTTTTTCTCATACCAAATCTGAAAACCAAATTTTCAGATTTTATAAAATATTATTTCGAATTTATAAAATTTAATTGGTAGGAAAACGAATTAATTTCTAAAACTTAATTCTGGATATTTAAAAATTCCAAATTTAATTTTTTTCCAAAAATAAAAAATTTCGTGTCCTACTTGATCATGGAAATTGAATTTCCAAATTTTTATAAATCTTATTTTCGAAATTTCCAAATTTTTATAAATCTTATTTTCGAAATATTCCAAAAATTTATATTTATCCAAAATATAGACTTTGTTTCCTAATAGAACATGGAAACCGAATTTCCATCTTGGTAGATTTTAGTTTTCTTAAATAAATAAATTATTAGACAAGGAAACTAAAAATAATTTCAATTAATTTTTTTCGTAAGTCTAAAATTTCCGAAAATCTATATTTCCGAAAACTATTGATTTACTTTCCAATATAATAACTTTCCAGAAAATAAATTATTACATTTATATTTTATTAATAATTAACATGGTAATTTTGAGATTAGTGAAACATTTTTATTAATATATACAAATAATTATTTTAATTTCAGGATATATTCCCCAATACTTTTATACTATCTGAAAATCATATTTCCAAATTTATAAAATTATATATTCGGACACTAAATGTTAATTATAATTAATCACTATTAATTAAGAATTAGATCTAATTAAATCCGAAAAATAAACAATAAAATCCGAAAATTTATTTTAATTTTCCGGAATGCTTAAAATCGTATTTCAACATTCCAGAATAATTAAAATCATGTTTCCATATTTATCTTGTATTTATTTTGAGATTAATTAAATTAACTAGAAAATCAAATTAATACTCAAAACAAAGAATTTAATGCCGAAAATTTATTTTTTATGTTTCCAGAATGCTTAAAATCATATTTTAACATTCCAGAGTCATTAAAATTATTTTTCTTATTTATTAAGTATTTATTTTGTATTTTAACCAATTAAACTACAAAACTACCCTTAATACATTAAATAGAAAAATAATCAAAAACTAATTCCAAAAATCATATTTTCGAATTATATAAAGTCCAGAATTATATTTTGACACTTTATATTATTTTGGATGATTTTAAAAATTCATACATATCTGGATTAAATTTATCAATTATCGAAAACCTTAACGATAACAAATCTACAAAGTTTATAATTTCATAAGCCGGCTCAGATACTACTGTTCGGTAACCATGCATGGATAGCACAGCGAAAACAAAATATTTATATCCAATCGTCGTTACCACCCAAGATCGTTTTACGAAAACTATAAATTATTATTGAGAAAAATACTTTTTTCTCGTAGAAAACAGATCAAACGGTGTAGGTGAAGGGATTGGTGCAATGAATCAGTCATAAAAGAATCTAACCTCTAGCGCGTCCACACGAACAATGAACGGTGTTCTAAAAAGAATTTATGCTAATAAATTCTTTGTTATGCAGAATTCGAGAATAACAAATAAGAACGTGGAAAAAAACACAACAACAGATTTAACGTGGTTCACCAATGTTGTGTTGCATACATCCACAGGAAGAGGGGGAGCAGTTTTATTACGGACGGAGAGGCAAGAACAGGATACAGAATAGGGTTTGTGGTAGCACCAATATATATAGTGCTAGGCTAATCCCGTACTCCCTGCTGTAACGGGTCAGATTCAAGGCATTACAACAAATCTCCACCTTGACTTGAAATCTCCAGACAGATTCTTCAAACGCACTATGATTGTGCCAGGCCTCCCCCTCTTCCTCAGAATTGCTCCGCAGGGCAACTAACAGCTTCTGATGTTGAGCAAGTCCAAACAGTGTTGAAACTTGCTTTGCGGAACCGGCTTTGTGAACATATCAGCAGGATTATCAGCAGTTCCTACTTTCTTCACCTCGATTCTCTTCTCACTTCTCAGAAAATGATACCTTACGTCAATATTCTTGGTTCTCTCATGATGAACTTGATCCTTTGCTTGACAAATCGCGCTCAAACTCTCACAATACATTGTAGCCATATCATGATGCAGACCAAGATCACTAACCATGTAACACCCTAATCCGTCCAGGTCTGCAGCCCCATTCGGACTAAAGTATTTAACTTGGTAATCGTAAAATTTAAAACTTTTCAAACACACTTTATTAATCTCAATAATATTTTTCATAACATATAAACTACGGAGTATTTAACAATATTGCGGAAGCGAATTTAATATTGACATATCATAAATTATTTCAAAACATGTCACATCCATCCTGACAATCTCGCCCCATCTGCCGCCAGGATCACATTAATCTTTCTGTTTACCTGCGTGTAGCAAATAAAACACACTACACGCTCAGCGGTGAAGCTGAGTAAGCATATCTAAAGCGTCGAACATCCACATAAATTGAATCTCAATCCATAATCAACCATTTGATATCATGCACACAATATATGGTTCAAACATTCATAATATTTTCAATATTTTATTCCAAGTCATTTGATATTCAATATATCAATAATGCTCTTAAATTATTCTTAATCTAAGGCCACATCATTTTATATTCAGCTCTTAGCTATTCCTAGTCTA